ACAATTGCTTGTGGGCCACCCTGCTGAGGGTGATCCTCCTAAGCTGTCCCTGTCAGCGGGGGCTCCCCTCACTGCCTCTTCCAGGTCAAAGATACATGAGCATTCTTGGTGCTTTTGTTTTTTCACATTTTGTGTAAAGTTGACCATTTCAAAATATAAAACTGGTCAGGAAAGATGGAATTCAAACCCACCAGGCTAAGAACAAGGGATTTAAAAGCTGAGCCAAGCTCAAGTCCCAATCTCGCATGACAATCTTAAGAGTGGAACTTTAACCTTGCCAGGCACTTCCGCAGTCACCAGAATCAGGTTTCGAAGGTTCCCTGGGGTAGCAACAAGCTGGGATATCATGGCCTCTCTTCCATTTTACAACATGCTGCTTGAGGACTGTGCTCATTTCATTTTTAAAAAACCCTCCTACACTGTTCGTGGGAATGTAAACTGATACAATCACTATGGAGAACAGTATGGAGGTACCTCAAAAAACTAAAAATTGAACTAACATATATGATCTAGCAATCCCACTCCTGGGCATATATCCAGAGAAAAACATACTTCAAAAAGATACATGCACCTCAATGTTCATTGCAACACTATTTAAAATAGTCAGGACATGGGAGCAACCTAAATGTCCACTGACAGAGGAATGGATAAAGAAGATGTAAGGAAGATGGAATGGATAAAGAAATAATATAATGGAATGTTACTCAGCCGTAAAAAAGAATGAAATAATGCCACTTGCAACAACACGGATAGACCTAAACATTGCTGTACTGAACACAGTTAGACAGAAGAGAAATATACGGTATCACGCATACCTGGAATCTAATTTTAAAAAAGATACAAATGAACATACTTACAAAACAGAAACAGACTCAGATTTTTAAAACAAATTTATAGTTACCAAAGGGGAAAGGTGAGGGAAGGGATAAATTAGGAGTTTGGGATTAAGCTATACACACACTAATATATAAAGTAGATAACCAACAAGGACCTTCTTTTTAGCACAGGGAACTCATCTACTCAACACTCTTGTCATAATCTACATGGGCAAAGAATCTAAAAAAGAATGAACCTATGTATAACTGAATCACTTTGCTGTATACCTGAAATTAACACAACACTGTCAATCAATTATACTCTAATAAAATTTTTAAAAATAAAATAAAAAGTTCCTTTAAAAATATAGAGTTCAAACATACAATGTTTAGTAATTTGCTAATGTTTACACAGTGTTACAATAATTTTTTTTAAAAAAACCCACATTACTATGTCATCATTCCAACACCAAATGTGAATATGTTTCTTTCCCAGCACAACTAGAACAGCAAATAAATAGTTAGACCCACGTCAGTGAAAATGGAGTCTGGTTCATGTTCCCTCATGTAGACAGGGACAAGTTCCCCCCTCATGTCAACCATTTCAAAGGTTAGAAGCAGAGTCTGATAAAACACTGCCCACGTGAAATGAAAATGAAGACATAATATTACAATTACTTGAAATTCAATAGTTCTCCTCGAGTTTCTCACCTTTTCCAGCTCAGCATCGGGATAATGAATACAATGAATGCTGAACAGTTTTCGCATGTGTTGATAATTTAAAGGAACCAGTTCTCACCTAAGTGAAACAAACTGCTGGGAATTTTTTTCAGTTTCTGTGACTTATTAGGGCCACCAAAAAAAAAAAAATACCTATTGACATGTCCTCTCCTTTATCAAGTCATCGAGAAATATCAAATAGAGAACTACGAGACTGCCACAGCAAACACTGAATATGGATTTGCTTCTAGCACACTTGCCTTTCCATAAAAGTCACATGCACATGGGCATTCCCAGGGGATGTGCTGAAAAACACAAGAAATCCACATGTCACATTCAGGATGCTCTTTATTTGCCATCTGTCCTTCTACAACACATTCCCTCAGTGATAGAAAAAGACAGCAAGAAGTAGGTCAATGTGCCTCATTACGGAACTCCTTTTCCATTACATATTTATATTTTATTCACATAAAAAAATCTATTCAGAGAGAACCCAGAAAGTTCTACAAATGTCTACAAACTTTGGTTCTGGAAAAAGAAACAAAAACAGTATTCAACTCGAGTCAGAGTTCCAGATTTACTCATCTCATTCACCAGATCACCAGGTAAAGTGGACGAAGTTCTACATGTGAATACAGCGAACACCTTCGGAATCCCCATCCACATGCAACAAAGGGCCCAGCAGTATGTTCCCTGTGAGTCTGTCTGAGGCCAGGGTCAGTGGCTAGTCAGGGTTCCAGGGGAGGCAGGTAATTGGCTCTGGCAGTGGCGCTACAAGCCCCCCATCCCAGCCCTGACCTGGCTGTCTGATGCTGGCCCTCTGAGCCCCATGGACATCTCTAAGCTAAGCACTGGGGGAGAGGACATGAGCCCCATGGTTGACCTTGGCCCAGAGTCAACTCCCCCTCCTCTCCTCTTTCCAGGTCTCAGCTGGAGGAGGGGGAATTCTGTGGTTTTACTGACCTTTGGCTGTCTGTTCACTGTTTTGTGTTCCCTTCTGAAGCTCCATGTTTCAGCTAACAGGGTATCCTGGATTATATAAATCCAGGCTATGACTAAAACTCTTTGGAGAGCCTATATGGGAGTAAGAGGGGAACTATATTAAGACTTTTGAGGTTCAGAAGAATCCAGCTTCACTTGCACTGTTCCATGGAAACCTCAACAGCAACAAAACATTATGATCTGTCACTCAGTACGTAGGTGCTGTGAGTGCGACCACAAATGTCATTCTCTTATAGGACCTAAGATTATATTCTCTACCACAGACTGACCGTTCCACACTGAAGTGGCTATCTGCTATTATTTGGAAGGAGGCCAGTCAATTACAGACACATTTTCCATACTTTTGTCAGTGGGGTCTGACTTCAACTCCTTTAAGTTTTCAATCAGGTTAAACCCATCAGTATATTTTCTTGTATCTACTAGAAGTTTCACTGAAACCCTCTTATAGATGGGTTTCTCTCCAGAATAAACATTTTTATTAGGGCTAAGAAAGGATGGCTTCTGATTGGGAGTGCCAAGTCAAATCCAAGAGGGGAGGGGGCTGTAAGGTCACAGGAGAGTGTTTGACGGGGTCAGCAAGACAGAGGGGGAAGATGCATGAAGAACAATGACAAACACACAACAATGACAGTATCCAACAGAGTAGACACCATCCCCCTCCCAAGGGCCAATCCCCCTTCCTTATTCAGAGAACTTCAATCTCATTGAGTGCAACATGCCTACATAGCTAAACACTCTCCTTCCCAGACTCATGTGCGGTGGGGGGCACCAGAATTTCAGCCAATGGAGGTAAGCCAATCATCTCTAGGAAAGCTCTGTGTTCCCCCCGCACACAATACACCTTGTCACCTGCCTCTTCATTCCTCTTCCAGCTTAGAGAGCAGTTACCAGACCTGGCAGGTCAGTGACCATCTTGTGACTATGAGGCAGGAAGCCAATGGGTAAGGGGTAAGGATGGTGGAGAAAAAGTACCAAAGGCCACGAGTCATCAAGGATACCGTGGAAACAGTCCTGAGAGCCCACTTCCAGGTTTCTTAGTCCACTCTTCACTGTGTGTTTTCTATTATTTGCAGTCAAATGCACACCTGATACATCAAGAGCCAATGATGAGACTGAAAAGGATGAGGATGACTCAGGGAAAAGGAAAGAACAAAGACGAAAGGGAAAGGACAAGGGGCATCAATCTTACTGAGATCACCCAGTGGACCTAAGAAACATAGCTTAATTCCTTCCCACAGACACGACCGAAGTCCTGACTAAAAGAATAAATGTATCATTATGTTCAATTCAAAGATGCTCAGTGCTCAAATTGGCTGTCTCAAATTTAACTCTGTCCTTCTGTGCTCTGATTGCTAATATGAAAGTGCATGCTTATACATTAAAGCTGGATGTTTTGCATCCTACAGAGAGGAGAATGGAACAGATTTAGAATCAATTTAGTATTTCTCTTGCAATCCATTTGGAGGAGTTCCCACTGAGAACTCATCTGCCTCACCCTCTCGGCAGCCGTATTTAATAAGATCTGAGAGGAAAAATAAGCACTAACACTAGGTATTCTGTTTTGACACTTGTATATGCTATTTGGAAATTCAAGTCACTATGGCAAGCTGGCAGAATATAGGACATGGCCCTTGGAAAGCACTAGACTGATCAATATTTAAGAATGCACAGGCAACAGCAATAAATGAAGCAGATGCAATGGAGATGCAAATCAATGATGGGTATGTATACCCTCAAAATAAGGACAAATCTCTTCCTGTGGCAGGAAACAGCGCAGCACTAAATGCTCGAACAGTTCTTCGTGCAGTCCCCAGATGCTGGTCTTGCATAGAGAAATGTTTTCTTCATACTCAACATGGCAGAAGACCCAATCTTGGTTCAGAAACTGAGGGATAAGCAACAAAACAGGCTGAGAACAGGAGCCAGCAATAGCTGGTCACAAGTGAACCCACTAGCATACTTGCAGCTTTCACTATGTTCACATTTAATTTCTTTTTCTTTTCCAACAAAGTGTGTGCAAATATCTTTAGTCTGATTCAGTAACATAGCAGCCAAACCTCAGGAACCAATAAATAAGGACACTGACATGCCAATACCCCTTGGCCTTTAAGATTCAAAGCTTTACCAACATCAGCCTGCAACAGAAGGGGCAAATGTTTCTTGACTCAGTGATTGTGTTCCAGATCCTTGTACAAACCACATCGTTTACCCCCACCCACATGCCCCCACAGCAGTTACTAAACTCACAACACAGCTTGAAACTCATAAGGGGTTAAAGCTATAAAATGCCTACTCATAGATGTATATTTTTTTATGTTTCATTCTTTTTCCCTTCCTTTCAAACAAAGCTTTTGTTTCCGCTGCTCCCAGTGCATGACTGTTCAATAGGATAATAACTATCATTTGTTTATTTCTTTCCAATGATACAGTTGTATTTTTCTCAAAGAAACTACCATCTTGTTTCTAATTAAACATGATGGATTCAGGGTCCTGGTTTGCCATCTGGGCCATATGTCTCAGAACATCCTTTTTCGTGATAATGCCAAGAAGTCTCCTAGAGAAGAAACAAAATAGAGAAAAAGGTCAGCCTTGCAATATTGGTTCATCTGATCCCCAGCGCCCTTCCCACCTGGGCGCACAGAGAGACCACATTTCCCAGCTATCCTTGCAGATGGGTGGGGCCAACTGAGAGAGCTCTGGCCAATGGCGTGTGGGTGGAGGTGAGCAACGCCCCTCCCAAGTCACCTGCACATTTCCTCTCTCATCTGCCGGTTCCAGAGGAGTTAGTAAAGGACTCAGGTCACAGAAGATGAATCAGGAGCCATCAGATTCAAAGACCTGGGCCCTGGGATGACTGTGTGGTGCACAGCTCACACCTGCTGCAACTCATACTGGATGTGAGTGACATGGGAGAAAAATTAACCTTTATTGTGTTTGGCCACTGATATTACAGGATTGCTTATTACTGCAGTAAGCCTATGATGACTAATATACTCACCCAATTTTTAAGAATATAATCAGTTAAAAAGGGCTTACAAAAGCCAATGTCAAAACTTGATCACACTGCAGAAATCCCAAGTGTAAGGCATTTTAAATGTAAGAAGTTTTAAGTATGAATAACAATTAGTTCAATTTTAAATCTATCTTACTGGAAGGGTAAAGTTTGACATTCATGTGTGGCCATTTATATAAATTACCTCCTCTTCCAAAATTCCATGGCTGTCTCCTTACAAAAACAATGCCCCTTCCCAGAGCCCCTGGTATAGGGCCACCTATAGTGCAAACTGTCCAACTCCTACTTTTTACAAACACAATGTAAACAGTGTCCCTGGGTCATGAACACACACTTGCACAACTGTTCATGGTAGCCCTTGCCTCATTCTCGATTTTATTAAATATTTAAATGAACATCTGCTCGGGTCAAATCACGCCCCCTAGGGAAAGTGAAAGGAGTGAAAGAAGGGGATGTACACACGTTCTCTGGGGAAAAGAAGTTCCACTGCTAACTTAACTAGCAAAATGCTGCTCACCTCATCTCCATCATCCCCAAGAAGAGGAGAACAGAGAAGGATGGCAGTCTCACCCTGGAATATTGTATGGCCATTAAAATGAAAGGTTTCTGGGGCTTCCCTGGTGGTCCGGTGGTTAAGACTCTGTGCTTCCAATGCAGGGGGTGCAGGTTCAATCCCTGGTTGAGGAACTAAGATCCCATAAGCCACACAAGGTGCAGCCATAAAAAAGAAAAGATTTTTAAAAAATGACAGGTTTCTCCTATCTGTGTATAATGATGATATACCAAAAAATATGAAAATAAAACTGTACTACACTGTCATTTATTTAATTAAAGCCAAAGTATCAAACTCATCTCTTACCAATAGGAAGTGAACATGAAGACAGGGGTTCAAGTACTCATAGCAGTATTGCAGTAAGGTATAGCTGGTGAAATGGACAGTGGTCAGTGGAACTGTAAGGTCAGAATTCTGACTTCTTTGTCCATGACCACAGTGAACCTTAACCTTGAAAAAGTGAGTGATTTCTTGTGTTAGTTTCCCCGTCTATCACACGCCGGGGCAGAGAGCAGATACTATACTTCTTTCCCTCCATCTCACTGAAACATCTTCAAGAGAGAGAGAAAGAACATGAAGGGCCGTTAAAAGCATGATACACAAAGGCTTCCCTGGTGGCTCAGTGGTAGAGAATCTGCCTGCCAATGCAAAAGATATGGGTTCGATCCCTGGTCCGGGAGGTTCCCACATATGCCACAACTATTGAGCCTGTGCTCTGGAGCCAGGGAACCACAACTGCTGAGCCCACGTGCCACAACCAGTGAAGCCTGCACACCTAAAGCCCGTGCTCCACAACAAGAGAAGGCACTGCAATAAGAAGCCCACACACAGCAAGAAAGAGGAGCCCCCACTCACTGCAACTAGAGAAAAGCCTGTGCAGCAACAAAGACCCAGCACAGCCAAAAACTAAACAAGTTTTTTTTAAAAAGCATACTACCAATGTATAGCAAAACCACTACAATATTGTAAAGTAATTAGCCTCCAATTAAAATAAATAAATTTATATTAAAAAATAAATAAAAAGCATACTAAACTAATTACAAATAGAACATCCAGAGGATCTAATATAGTTTTCATACGTGAAGAGGAATAGTGCTAACTCTCTTCCTTCTTCTCAGTAACACCCATACGGAATACAAGGTAAAGAGAAAAAGAGCAGATATGACAGTAACTTCTGTGTGACTGAGTCAAATTTGCTTTTCCCAGTTTTCTATTAACTGCAAAAAATGGAAGATAACTGGAAATTAGTCAGCAGTTTACCTCTAAACAAGACAGTAGTAAGTTTTATAGTAATCACATGTATAACATATTTATGTTAAATTGCTTGAAGTGTTTAAAATAACAAGCCACATTAAATTTTAGTTAATGTTTAATATTTCTACATTGTCAATAGAGAAAGTAAATAACTGACTAAGAAACTTTAGAAATATTACAGGTAAAATGCTGAAGGTATTTTTTTTTTAAATATGCTGAACAAAAAGAATAATGGCAACACAGATGACAAAACTGAAAGAAAGCACCACAACAAAAGCAATAGTCTCACAAACTGGAGAAAAAATGTAGCAAGCACAATAGAATTCGAAAATCAACATTTTGCAACCCCCAATGCAATAATTAGTTTAGTCAATCATTTATCAATGGATTCCAAAACCACTGGGTAAATGGTTGCTGGAAAACAGAAAATTCACATGGTCTCAAAGTATCCCTCCACAGATTACGTACAAAGAGAAAAATGTCCCCTTATAACAGAGGGCTCTGGCCATCACCACTTCATCCCAGTGATGCAGCTTATCACCAGTCAAGTCAGAAAAGCTGACATTATGACATCATTGACGTTGGAACATTGCCCAAAGCTACTTAAATAAAATCAAACCATGAGGAAGCAATCAAACAAATTCACAATGTGGGACTACTGGTCTGAACTCTTAAAAACAAACCTAGGTCATAAATAACAAGGAAAAAAGACAGGAAGCTCTTCTAGATAGAGAATGAAGAAGCAAAACAAACCAATGCAATGTGTGAACGCTGAAGGAATTCTGGACTGAAAATGATATGAGCTAGATAATGAATGATATACTTAATTACTGTTAATTTTGCATACAGCTCCATGGCTATGAAAAAGAATGTCCTTAGTCTTAGAAAATGTATGCTTCAAGTATAGCTGCCCAGACTTGGAAACACCAAAGACGTGCTTTATTAGGTGAGTGAATCAACAAACTGGTCCATCCAGACAATGGATATTACTCAGCACTAGAAAGAAAAACAAGCCATCAAGCCAGGAAAAGACATGGAGGAACCTGAAATGCACATCCCTCCCTCCCCTACAGACTGTGTGACTCCAACTCTGTGACGTTCTGGAAAAGGCCAAACGATGGAGACAGTAAAAGGATCAGTGGTTACCAGAGGTTGAGGGGAGGGAGGGATGGACAGACAGAGCACAGAGGATGTTTAGGGTTGTGAAACTATTCCTGATGATACTACGATGGTGGATACATGTCATTATGAATCTACCCAAATCCACGGGATGCACAACACCAAGAGTGAGCCCTAAAGTAAATGATTACTGTTGTTTAGTCACTCAGTCGTGTCTGACTCTTTTTGTGAGTACCATGAACGGTAGCCCACCAGGCTCCTCTGAATACTGGAGTAGGTTGGGTTGCCATTTCCTCCTCCAGGGGATCTTCCCAACCCTGGGATCGAAGCTGCATCTCTTACATTGGCAGGTGGATTCTTTACCACTGAGCCACCAGGGAGATGGATCATAGTTAATAACAACATCTCAATACTGGCTCATTGGAGGCAACAAATATAACCCATAAATGTAAGATGTTAACAGAAAGGGAAACAGAGAGGACCAGAGAGGGAACTCTCTGTACTTTCTGTTCAAGTATTTTGTAACTCTGAATGGCTCAGAAAATACAGTCTATTAATTCAAGAAGACAAAATTCTTAGGAGGGAAGAAAGTGGTTGTCTGAATGGAAGGGTCAGGAGTGGTGAAGCATGACAGAGCTAAGAACCATTGTTCCTTCCAGCTGTGTAGGGCTTCCCTAGTGGCTCAGATGGCAAAGATTCTGCCTGCGATGTGGGAGACCCAGGTTCTATCCCTGGGTTGGGAAGATCCCCTGAAGAAAGGAATGGCTACCCACTTCAGTATTCTTGAGCTTCCCCGGCAGCTCAGGCATTAAAAAGTCTGCCTACAACACAAGAGACCCAGGCTCAATCCCTGGGTCAGGAAGATACCCTGGAGAAAGAAATGGCAATCCACTCCAGTATTCTTGCCTGGAGAATCCCATGGACAGAGGAGCCTGGTGGGCTATAGTCCATGGGGTTGCAAAGAGTCAGACACAATGGAGCGACTAACTCTTTCTATTTGGAGCTACTTGACTTTAACCATTTTTATAGATCAGTGACTAAAACACATTTCTAAAATTTATAAATACAGTAAAATCAAAGATGCCCCATAAAACAAGATGCTATTATCCTAAATCTGCCAAGGTGAGTCTGAGTTCTGACGGAGTCAGCTTGTGCTGCCATAAGAAAGTACCACAGACTAGGTGACTTAACAACAGAAATGTATGCTCTCCTGGTTCTGGAGGCTGGGAAGGCCAAAATCAAGGTGCTGGCCAGTTTAGTTTCTCCTGGGTGTGTAGACGGCCACCTTTTTTCTGTGTCCTCACACGGCCTGTTTCTCTATGCAGGCATCGCCAGCGTCTCCTCTCCTTCTAAGGACATCAGTCCCATCTGATTAGGGATGGGGCTTTTATGACCTCATTTAACCTCAACCCCCTCCTTAAAGTGGGCTTCCCTGGTGACTCAGTGGTAAAGAATCCACCTGCCAACGGAGGAGATGCAGGTTCGATCCCTGTGTCGGGAAGAGCCCCTGAAGGAGGAAATAGCAACCCACTCCTGTATTCTTGCCTGGGAAATGCCATGGACAGAGGAGCATGGTGGGCCACAGTCCATGAGGTTGCAAAGAGTCAGATACAACTGAGTGACTCAGCATGCATACACACACCTCCTTATAGACGCTGTCTCCAAAGACAGCCATATTGGAGGCTGGAGCTTCAGTGTATGAATTTGGGGATTGGGGGCACAAAATTTAGTCCATAACAGCCCTTCAACTCCCTCTAAAATAAAAGACGAATAGTTAGAAGGCAAGCAGCTTATGCCTATAATACACCACTAAGAAAGGTGCGATCATCAGAGAAGTAGCAACACGTGAAAGGAGGAAGAACCTTTTCATCCAAAGTGGGAGGAGTTCTGAGACTGGTGGCCACCAATCAGCAGACAGTCGTTCAGCTTAAAAGTCTCTTCAGTCCTTTTGGACATTTGTATTTGAAAGCCTGGCTAAGGAAACTACCCTCCAGGACACTTGGAGAACATAACTCAAACTGGATGATATCCATGTTCTTTGGTGGATGATAAGCTCTTTGATTTTCTTTTTTGTAACACTTTTTGAGCCTCTTCCAGTTCTCCCTCACATAGAAGCTCAGTAAGATGCTGAGGAAACCAATATTGCTTTCAAAAAAAACACTAGGCATCTGCAGTCCTGACAGCCCTGTCTTAAAGCTTGGTAACTATAATGTCTGAAAGTCAAGCTGGTTGTAACAGTTTTGGGGAAATACAGATTCAGGAGCTGCCTTGGGTTCAGGCATAAATTGTGCCCTGGCCTGTGAAAGTAATTCAGTTTAGTCCAGTTCAGTCGCTCAGTCACGTCAGACTCTTTGCGACCCCATGGACTGCAGCACGCCAGGCTTCCCTGTCCATCACCAACTCCCAGAGCTTGCTCAAACGCATGTCCATTGAGTCAGTGATGCCATTCAAATATCAAAAAAGAAGAAAGATGAGCAACCTGCCAGGAAGAGGCAGCATTCAATCCAAGGGGGTTTGTTAGTGGGATGAAATCTCCTACTTGATCTAAATCAAGTGTTTCAATGTCCAGCCTCTTTGGGTAGCAGTTCAAGTGAATCTGTGGAATGATAAACAGTCCATCTATGACCATGAACATAATTCAGATTAGAGCAGCGGGGCTGTTGTGAGAAGACCACCCTGGTCAGGACTTCAAGGCCCACCTAGCATCTCCTCTGCTCCCTTTTTCTTTCTAGATCCTCTATGGGGAAAATCCCAAATTCACTCTTGGCCAATGGACACTTCCAAGACTTCAACTTTATGAGGACAAAGACTTCTCTGGCTCCTGGTCTGGTTTCATGATCACCATAGAGCCCAGGCCCTGAGAAGTCCTTCAGACTACACTAGTCAAGGGTACGAGCTGTGGGGCTCGGCCAAGAGCTGGGACGGTACATGGTGATGGAACAGATCAAAAACACAAGCTGGCTTGAGCCGGGCCTGCCCTGGCTCAAAGCCCAAGGAGATGAAAGGCCCCGCAAACAAGGATCTCCTGCCAGCGCTAACGTATCAGCATCTGTGTTTGTTTAAAATATGTATAGTGAGAGAGTGAGAGCGATTTTGTGCTCTCACAGAACATTCGGAGCCAATTTCGGCACCCAGATCTTCACAGGAAAACCTCATAGGGCTCCATGAGGTGTGAGCGGGCATCAAGGGCAGAATTTCCTGCCAGAACTGAAAATTACAATGATAACTGACATGGGATTATTATTTTAAAGGGAAAGAGAAACTGCTATACACTCGAGACGACATGGGTGATCACGGTGGTATTTCTGCCGAGCACTGGAAATTCAAGCACATCAGTGGGCTTCAGTCATTTATAAAGTGGGGACCTTGACCAGCAGTAGCCCCTGGGAGCTGGTTACAAGTACAATTCTCGGGGTCCCTCCCAGATCAGAAGGATAAGTAACTGCAGTAGGGCCTGGCACTCGGGGTTTAACCTGAAGGTTTACTCCTCTCAGATTCTGATGCCTGCTCAAATTTGAGAACCACTGAGGGCCTTTAAAAACCACCAGTAGAGGGGAAATCCTGGGCAGTCCAGTGGTTAAGACTCTGCGCTTCCACTGCAGGGGGCCCAGGTTCAATCCCTGGTTTAGGAACTAAGATTCTGCAAGCTGCACAGCTGGACAAAAAAAAAAAAAAAAAAAAGAATCCACCAGGAAAAATGACCTCTAGCCTCAAATGCTTATTCATCTGTTCATTATTGACTGCCCCTCCTCAAGCACAAGGCACCCACCAGCTGCAGTCAGAGTTAAGGAGGACACTCATCCCGTTGGCTAGGCGTCCTCTGGGTCAAGTGCAAATTCAGCCCCTTGCAGAAATCCATGCTGCCCACCATGAGCAAGGCGGCAAAAGAAATCTCTGCGAGTGAGGGGTGCATGCTGCGTGCTCAGTAGTTCAGTTGTGTCTGACTCTTTGCTACCCCATGGAATGTAGCCTGCTGACAGAGGCTCCTCTGTCCATGGGGATTCTCCAAGCAAGAATACTGGAGTGCATTGCCACATCAGCCTCCAGGGGATCTTCCCAACCCAGGGACTGAACCTGCATCTGCCTGTGTCTCATGCATTGCAGGCAGATTCTTTACCCATGAGCCACCTGGGCAGCCCAAGTGAGGTGTGCTCTGTGACTACTCCAGGCACCCAGCCCAGGGGCTCTCAGCTGGAACAGGAGTATCACTTGGGCCTGACGAGTCTTTGCTTTGATAGGGGCTGTGCTGTACACTGGAGGGTGTTAAACAGCACCCCTGGCCTCTACCCACTGGATGCCAGTAGTAGCATCTGCCCCCTCCACTTATGACACCCCCAAATCCCTGCAGGGCTAATCACCCTGCTTGAGAACTTCTGGGTTAACGAGGAGCGAGGCAGCCCTGGAAACTGTGTCAGAGTTAAGCCTCAGGATTCTATAAAGGCCAAAATTGTTATTTCAGGTACCAATGTCTCCATAGCCCATACCCTACCTCCCACCCCCAGCCCATAAAGCAATCAACGAGGTAGAGAATCCCAGGTTCCAAGATACCTGAACCAAACCAATCCCTTCCTCCACCCAAGATTCTGAGGCCCTGGCATTTAGAGACAGCCCCTGAGCCCAGGGCACGGCCCATACAGCACTGCACCTCTCACACCACCATGAACCTTTGATCTCCACAGCACTGGTTTTCTGCTTCCTGATAATATGGTGCGAAAGCAATACTGCTGTGGTGGAGACCAAGCCACGAGCTACCAAAGCTCACGGCTCTGCAATCATACTTGCAAATGTCAAGTTATTTTCAACAGGCTGGTGCATCAAGGAACAACTTAAGCACAATGTGCACCTCACGTTTGTGTATGGTGGTGTGTCTATGAGAAAAGTCCAGAATGGAGTGCCCAGTGGCATGGGAAAACCCAGCTGCAGCCCTCATCATGCCCACTTCCACAAGCCAACTGCTTGTGAAGGGACTCAAGGTGAAGGGACTGATATCCTTCTTCTCAACCACTGAATGTGTGAAAAATGTGTGACAGTTTTTTTGAGATTCCCATCTCTCTTTCTTAGTGTGTCGCTGACAGAGTGTTGGAGCATCATGTGCCTCAAGCTATTTTTCTCTTCAGCCCTGAGATTTTCCTTGCTCGTTTAGGCAGAACAGGGTGAACCTTCTCCAGGAACCTGGACCACTGTGGGGACTGGGGTAGGGAGCCCCAGCCCCTCCCCACGGGCTCCTCCCCTTTAGACTCAAATTTCAGCCTCAGGGCAGAGATAGCAGCTCCACTTGGAAGCCTGCCTCCAAGCCTGCCGGCATCTCCTCCTATACTCACCACAGCCTACTGACATTTCTTCAGAGGATTGGTCCCCAGTCCCCATCAGCCCCCCATGGGCCCTTCACCTTGTGCCCTCCAGGGTCCAGCCACTCACCCGCTCCGGGTCACCAAGCACTGGCGGAGCCCCAGCTTCCGGAAGATGTCCACCACAGTCTCCATTGGGGTGTGGTCGGTGACCGTGAAAGGGCTGAGGTTCAGGACACGCCGCAGCTTCAGGGGCTGTGGGCTGTTGGCCGGCAGCTCGGGGGGTTCCTCAGTGAAGTACATGACCGAGTCACTTACGATGCCCTCCTGCCTCTGTCTGGCATTCTCTGGAATGGGCCAGCAGGATGGTGAGCTGCACAAGACTCCCGTGTGGAGTCCCTCTCCCCATCTCAGCCCACCCCACCCCACCCACAGCCATACACGACTCCTCCATCCCAACAACCTCGAATCCCACAGAGAAGGGGAGCAGAGGGCAAACTGTACATTCCTAGTGAGGGGCTTCAGCCAAACAGCAGTGGAACTGGCATCTCTTTCTCTTAGGCTAATGCTGTGTGAGACTCCCCTGCTGTGTGTGACCTGATCATCCATTGCAAAGACTTGCAAGATGGGCCTGAGCAGGATGGCTCCTTCCTGAGAATGCACTGCCTTTGCCTCGACGCCAGGGCACCCCTGCTTTCCTAACACACTTCATCAGGGGCTGAACTCTGACATGAAAAAAAAAACCTAATGAGCTGCCCAATGACCTTAATACATTGTTCTGCTGTGTTTTCACAAACTATCTTATAATTAGCCCAAATGGCATTTATAAATCCTGAAAGAAACAAGAAACCAAGAGGACCATCCCGGGCTTACAGCCCAGAAACACAGCCTAATTCCAAATATAAGCCTTGGGACCAAAAAAATAGCCCTAGAAAAGCTGCCTTCCCCACTCTTCCCCCACCGCCAATCCTTTGGATTGTCTCTCTAAAAAAAAATGGGCCATTCTGTGGATTTCTCAAAGAAAGATAGTAAAACTGTTATGGTAACAATTAGCCTATTTCTATCTGTAGACAGGCCCATGTGAAAAAAAGCTGCAGAAAAAGTAGGGTAACAGGAACTCATTAGAAATACAGCTTTATGTGGTACTAGAAACCCAGGCTATTTTAAGTCACACATGAAATAAATCCATCAGTCTCCAGATATTTCTCCAAGGCGATTTTCCTTCTGTTGGAATTTTAATCTTTCTTTTGGTTCATGGGAAAAGGTTAGGGAAAAGGTACAGCAAGGCTTGCCTTAAAATGGATCCTGGTTTCTGTAATACACTTTTTTTGCCTTCTCAAAGACGACTATTCACCTATATTGTTCTTTGAAAAATAAAAATTCTAACTGCTGGCTCTAAAGCCATTTATCGCCACAGAGTACTCTAATGGAAAACTGGCAGCATTCGGGGTCAGACTGAGTTTGAAAAGGGGTCTCTGTTTAAAAGGGGAACAGAGGGCCCGCTGGGCAAATGCCTGCACAGTATGTGCATCAGATTCAATCGAGTTACATCAAATGGAGTAGGATTCAACCCCAAATACCAGATGACACTGGTGCACAACGTGTTTGCAGATGTAGATGCCACACAATGCACACTGCACATTTCTCTCCTAAATCAAGACAGCTCTATCCTAAAACACTAAGGTGAGAAGCAACAGTCAACACACACTTACTACTCATTTTCATGAAAGTGAAAGCATTAGTCGCTCAGTTGTGTTCAACTCTTTGCGACCCCATTGAATGCAGCCCACCAGGCTCCTCCATCCGTGGGATTTCCCAGGCCAGAATACTGGAGTGGGTTGTCATTTCCTTCTCCAGGGGATCTTCCTGACCCAGAGATTGAACCTGGATCTCCTTCATTGCAGATAGATTATCATCTGAGCCACCGAGGAAGCCCACTCATTTTCATAGACAGATTGATTTTCTCAAAGTCCCACATAACAGGAATTTCACCTATTTCAACATTCCAGTTGAACATCAGGTTTGGATCACGCCACAAACCCCAATCAAGAACTGATCACATGGATTTGTTGAACCCCTCATAAAACCAAATACAACTTAGCCAACTGTGGATCCACTTGTTGAAATAAATAAAAAGCTTCTATTGCCTCTGAATATACTGATTGAGTTAGAAGCCCTGATTCTAACAGCACCGAGCTCTGTGATTTCTTGCTCAGCACTGTGTTCCCAGTGTCTGGACAATGCCTAGAATACAGCAGACACAAAACAGATATTTGCCAAATGCACACATGAGTCAATCATTCAAAGTGAATGAATGAGTGAGTAGGTCTACTGACCATCAGTGCCCTTGGCTCTGCCTCCCATACACAACACAGTCCAGCTCACAAAGGAGGCATTAGAAGGAAAGCCTTGAGCTCTCTGCTGCTGAACAAAAAGGCACCAGCTGCGGTCAATAAAAAGGCACTTGCTAGCAGCAGTACAATCATCATGCCAGGTTAACGGAGGGTAATGAGGAAAGTGTTGATGAAGTGAATTTCACAAACTGTCACAGGCCAAGAAATTATAAAAGACTGAGATGATTAGATAGCATCACTGACTCAATGGACATGAATGTGAGTAAACTCCAAGAGACAGTGGAGGACAGAGGAGCCTGGTGTGCTACAGTCCATGGGGTTGCAGAGTCAGACATGACTTAGCGACTCAACAACAAATATGTTACTATAATGGCTTCAGAGCAATGGTTCTCAACTGAGAGTGATTCTGCCTCCACCCTCAGGGGACATCTGGCAATATCTGGAGACATTCTGGAGTCTCATAGCTGGGGGATGGAATTGCTACTGGTACCTCGAGGGTAGAGAGCAAGGATAATACTACAGCACAAAGGTAAGCACCTCTCAACAACGAATGATCCAGTCCCAATGTCAATGGTTGAGAAACTCAAATCATATTTTTAGGGAGGTAATACTCTATCATCCTGTTCATTAAAAATGATTCCACAGATAAATGAGGTCCTACTGTAGAGCACAGAGAACTATATTCAATACCCTGGGATAAACTATAATGGTAAAGAATATGAAAAAGAATTGAATGTTTATCTATGTATAACTGAATCACTTTACTATATAGGAGAAAGTAACACAAGATGGTAAATCAACTATACTTCAATAAAAAATCAAAATTTTAAACAATTTTAATTTTAAAAATGCTTAGCCAAAAAAAGAATGCTTAGGCAGATACCAGATATCGAAGGTTAAAAAATAAAAGCTTCCATAAAACACACATAACTAACAAGAAAGGTTAAAATGGAAAACTAGAAGCAACTATAGTGGCAGTCAGTACAAAGGTGTTGTGGTTAAAAAAACAGAAGTAAAAACTTTAGAAGAAAAAGTAGATTATTTTGTGACAAGTTATAGCTTATAAGGGCTTCCCAGGTTGCATCAGTAGTTTAAAAAAAAAAAACCCGCCACCTCAATGCAGGAGACATGAGACACTGGTTCGATCCCTGGGTCAGAAGATCCCCTGGAGGGCATGGCAACCCACTCCAGTATTCTTGCCTGGAGAATCCCAAGGGCAGAGGAGCCTGGCGGGCTACAGTCCATTGGGTCGCAAAGAGTTGGACACAACTGAAGGACTTAGCATGCATATAGCTTATAAGGCATGGAGAAGTCCCTCTGCACATATGTTTTCATCCCCAGCAGAAAGAAGCAGATGACACCACTGTTCCCCACGGCCTTTCCCATCATTAACAGTGCTCCCAGGAAGAAATCTCTTCAGGGACAAAGAGCTCATCCAACAGATTGGACATGTTTCTTGGTGCTCAGTTCTGGACAGAGAGCCCTTGTAAGCAAGCCTCTTCCATACGCTGGAGAAACATCATCAAATCATCCACCAGGCCAAAAAAAAAAAAATGAGAGTTCCCTTAACTCTGGCCCGTGACTCTAACTTTCCATTTTCCATCCCTTTATTCATCTTTGTGGCTTCCTATGGAGTCCTCTCTGGGTCTGTCCTCACTTAATTGCAGAATTCAAGACTAGAACAGCCTGAGCCTGCTGAATACAGCAAAAGCCTCATAGTTGCAGAGAGTGCCAAGAAGTGAAGTCCCATGTCCCAGGACCTTGCACAGCACTATATACTGCCCCGTGTGTATGTGATGGTGAAGGGGGCCACGTGTACTAGCTGTTCTCCAACAAAAACAGCAGCTATGGTTTGGCATACCAGAGATGGACTGGAAATACAACATTCCCAGCTTCCAGGAGCAACTTATATACTATTTTAAACATGACACATAAGGGAAAAAAAATTGTTCTTTGCCTCATCTACTGGGCTTCCTTGGTGCCTCTATTGATAAAGAACCCACCTGTCAATGAAGAGGCATAAGAGACTTGGGTTTGATCCCTGGGTCAGAAAGATCCCCTGGAGAAGGGCATGGTGCTCACTCCAGTATTCATGCCTGCAGAACTCCACAGACAGAGGGGCCTGGCAGGCTACAGTCCATGGGGTCACAAAGAGTCGGACACAACTAAAGTGACTTAGCACACATGCATCAGTTTTTTCTTATCTTGAATCTATCTAAAATCTCTGCTCCTGAGTTCTCTGGAAGCGAAACTGCCTTGGGATTATTACTAGCCTAATTGTGCTCAAGCTCAGTCAAGTCAGACTCTCTGTGACCCCATGGACTGCAGCTCCTCAGGTGCTGACCCCATGGTGCAGCCCACCAGGCTCCTCAGTCCAAGGGGATTCTTCAGGCAAGAATACTGGAGTGGGTTGCCATATCCTCTTCCAGGGGATCTTACCGACCCAGGGATTGAACCCGCATCTCCTGTGTTGGCGGGCAGAGTCTTTACCACTGAGCCACCTGGGAAGCTCAATGCTCAGGTCCTGTTTCTATATCCACAAAAGGGCATCTCATTCCACAAATATTCCACCAGGGTACTGGACTCTTCTGGAAGGAAAACAGCTTTTCTGACTGCTCACACTCAAAGACACCTTACCTTCCCAGAAACCATGTAAATAGCAGCTTTCATACTATTTTCCGTCAAATGGAAAGCATATAGGTACTATTGACACTGTTTTGCCTCTCCAAACACTTCAAACATAGCTTCTAGGAGAGTACTCAGTTGGCAAGCTGAAATTTCTTCTCAAACTGGTTGATGACAATTACTGCTTCCCACCTGATTACAGTAATGGGTTTCAGCAAAATTAGTAAGCTGTCTCTTAGCAGGTGTGCCTGCAGCTACACAATAGGTAATGGATTCTGTGACATTTATTACTTGAGTTTTTAAATTTCAACCTTTGCTTAAAAGATTTTAGGGATTGAATAAATGTTTTTAAAGGCTGCTGATTACATTAATTTAAAACAAACCCAACCTACAACTTTTTAAGAAATTTCATTATTTATAAGGTTATAGTCATGCCTAAAGGCACCTACCTATTAAGTGACAGGACCTATAATAAAGAGAAAGCAAATGTGCTTTTGTGTCTAAAACATAAAATCAATTGTTACTTTGGAAAGAGGTAAATATGTTTCAGCAACATGCTAAAATTAGACACTATAGCCTGCTTAAAATTCTTTTTATAAAGCCTTTGATGAAGATACTTTAAAAATATTTTAAAAGCTATTTAACATCGTGAAAAGGTTCTAGAAATTCAAATAGAGAGCCTGAGAAATAGTTAACAAAGGGCGAGGATAAGCAAAGGTGTGTTCCTGGTGAGGCGCTCTGCCATTGTACCTGGAAAAGTCCCTGAGGCAAACTTCACAAACCTTCTGGAAGTTCAATTATCAAGGGCACACGGGAGCTAGGCCATGAGCCCCCAGCATACTGCGAGACAGAGGGACATGCCGACCGGGAGGGCATTCGTGTTGACCACGCACTGAGGATGCGTTCTGTGGCTCCCTGCCCCGGCTGCATCAGGAGGTCTAGCAGGACCACTGCGGGGCAAGGGGAGTGCTCCTCCCTGCCAGGGCCTTCACAAACTCACACCCAGGCCTCTCTTTGTAATCCTTCTGCCTCCTGCTCCCCTTTCAAGGTGCTCATCCATAGGTCAACAGGGGACCTCAGGCTTGAGCCGCCTGTCTCTGGGACATAACAGTTGGGCACCATTTCCTCTCTCCTCTCCCAAGTGAATAGCCTGCCCCTTGGCACAGCTCACTCAGTTAGCCTGTTAGGAGGAGAAACATCCCATAGGACTGACTTGACCCACGTGGAACCCACATGACTTGACACGCTGGGACCAGACATGACGTCATGAAGTGACGTGATGGGCTTGAGCGGTGCCGAGGGAGGTATCTGAGGCAAAGAACTCAGCATCTAGGTCAGGGAGCCCCCTGTAAGTCCATGGGTGCCAGCCCATTTACGAAAACCTCACCAGGGAGGTGGGGATGGGGTTACGCTGTTTCGGTGAATGGGAAATAGATGAGGGATTGTGTCCTGCTAGGTGCCGTTCCCAGGAAGGGGGACACCATGATCACACTCCTTACTGGTCACTGCTTCTGTCAGCCACCCTACTCCATTGGCCTCCCACAAGAGTTTGAATAAATTTAGGTCAGAGCTACAGGTGCACAGCCCTCAAGTGTCATAGTAAAGCTGCTCACTGATCACTCCATTCAGAGCGTGCACTCTTAATGTACAGTGACGAGATATTATTTTATGATCTTTTCATTAAAAGTTTGATTGAAAAAAAGAGGGAGCTTGGGAGAAATGCAGGGTCTCAGGTGGCGTTAGTGGTAAAGAACACACCCGCCAATGCAGGAGATGTAAGAGACGTAGGTTCGATCCCTGGGTAGGGAAGATCCCCTGGAGAAGGGAAAGGCTACCCACTCCAGTATTCTGGCCTGGAGAATCCCATGGAGAGAGGAACCTGGAAAGCTACAGTCCATGGGGTCACAAAGAGTCGGACACGACTGAAGCGACTTAGCAGGCAGGTACCACCCCAAACCTCCTGCAGTCTGGCCGGATCCCCAGGTGAAACAAACAAGCCTTCAGCTTGGCCTGAAGCCCTCTGACCCTCATCCATCCTCTCCAACCTCTTGGAGAATTTGGGGCCACATTTGTCCCTGGAGACTCCCTGCTTTACTCACTTATGGCAAGAATCAGCTCTCTTCTCTGGGCAAAGCCGATGAGGCGCTCTGAGTCCCTGGAGACGACCACAGGGAAGCCGTTGTAGTCAGTCTCCTTGATGAGTGTCTCCACGTCCTCGACAGTCATGCTGTCCTGGGTAAGCACGGACAGGGGCGGTTCCCCCCGCCGTGGCCGCATGACATCAGTGGCCAGCGTGCGGTGAGTGAACTCGTCCTTCACGTCCAGGAATGGGTACCCATTCAAGTGGATGTGGGCCTCGTAGATGCCTTCCTTTCCGAAGGCATCGGCCACCCACTTGCTGGTCACGGCTGCTGCCATCAGGGGTACAATGTACTCGAGGCCTCCTGTTAATTCGAACATGATGACCACCAATGATACCGTCATCCTGGTAACACCACCTGCAACACAAGAGAGGAAGGGAATCGCAGGACTCCACTCCACACCTACAAGAGGACATGAACTGTGGAGACAGACAAGCCGGCTCCATCCTGGCCCTTGTTCTACAGGGATGGTTCTACACAGTGCCCATGCTCAGACCTCAGTAAACACAGCCTCGCATCAGCACCATAAGTCACATCTGTCTGGGTCTCTTCTCCTGTGAGTGACAGCAAGCTGTCTATTCATCCAGGACCACACCCTTTGCATTTTGATAAGTGGATCCTATATGGGCTCTGCAGGTTTCTGTCTCAGCACATGTGGCTCTTTTCCCAAACCCCTCAAGCTGGAAATGGTAGAGATTTTAAAGGGCTAGAGACAGCCATGTCCCAAGTGGCTCAGTGGTAGAGAAACCACCTGCCAATGCAGGGGGCGTGGATTCGATCCCTCAGTCAGGAAAATGGCCTGGAGTAGGAAAGGGCAACCCACTCCAATATTCTTGCCTGGAAAATCCATAGATGGGAGGAGCCTGGCAGGCTACAGTCCATGGGGTCCCAAAGAGTCAAGCACAACTGAGTGGTTAAATGATGACAAAGAACAGACAGGAGATGCACTCACCCTTGTGTCCCTTGGTATTCAAAGGAAGAATCCAAACTAACTCCCGACCTTGCAATGAGAAACAGCTGGAGCCGGGTCATTCTTCCTTCACTGGGGTAGGGGTGGGGAGGGCTGTCCTATAGATTCTAGGATGTTGAGCAGCGCCCCTGCTGCCTACCCACTATTTTAGATGGTACAGTGGCAAGATGGCAGAGATCCCATCAGCCTGGGTCCCTGGATGACTGAGCAGAGAAAAGCCCTGGGCTACTCATATCTCTCTCTTACACACACACACACCCACACACCCACACAGTACCTAGGCAAGCTGCAGCCCCCACCATGGCATAGAGCCCTGGGGTGACGCAGTCTGCACCGGGCCTGCACCAGTTCCTGAAGATGATCCAGTCATGGTGATGGTAAGCCAGCTGCTCCACACCGATTCCCACCATCCTGCCCGCCATGGCTCCCACAGCCATGCTGGGGATGAAGAGGCCGGATGGGATCTGCAGGGAGCACAGGAGAAAGATGCATGAGGGAAGGGGTCCCCATTCCTGCCGCCACACCCCCCAGCAAACTCGGCCTCCCTTGACAAGCTGGTATCTTCCTTCAGTCTTCAAAGGCAGGGCAACACTTCAAAATATGGGTCAACTGGGAAACCGTGGACCAGTGATCTACTGTGACTTGGGAGAGAATGCAATTTTACACTTTCATTTCCTCGCCTTCAAAAGCTGGCCTAGTTTGCCTGCTGTGGATTAAAGGATGATAAGCCCCACTGCAAATAACATTCAAAGTGCGCATCTGTCACTTGAGATACTCACCACTCTCTCTCCCCTCACCCGTCATTCAGATCAGCTTTTAAAATTAAATGTCACGCCACAGCATGACAATGGAAAAGCAAGGCCTTCAACTGTTCACAGGTCAAATAAAGAAGCTAAAAACATCAGTGGACCTGCCTTGCATCTTCCAAAAACCTTGTCATGGACTTACTGCCCTCTTGAATATACAGTGGCCAAACACCTGTCAGAGACTATATAAACCGAAAGGCCTCAGTAACAGCATGTTTTGTATTTTGCTGTGTGAGAATACATGTTCATCTCTTTAGTCATCAGACACGTAGTACAGAACAGACTTGACTCAGTTCACAGAGACTGCATGTGGCTGCCAACTGACCAGCAGCTGCATTTATGAACTGCAACCCCTTCCTGGCTGATTGTCATGAATCTGAGGGTGGAAGTGGGTCTTTAACCAAATTCAAGTTAAGTTTGGATCCTCCAGTGTAATTTCAAGAGTGTGTGACATTCCTGAGGAAATTATTCCTTGAACTTCTCTTATCCCCACCCCACTTCATCTAATCCCCTGTGACTTCAAAGCAGACTTCTCCCTGCAGGCACCAGAATGAAAATAAATCCCTCTGCATCACAGACAGTCACCTGTTTAATAACGTCCATCCTTCCTTGTTCTCAAGGCAAAAAGTCAGGTTTGTGTTTGACCACTGCACCCAAGTACACAGCTTCTCAAGACTTTTTTAAAAAGAAACAATTCATAGAAATACCACAAAAACAACTGTGGTGGAACACAATTGGGTTCTGAAAGGTTCCCAGTGTTCTGCTCCTGGTCTGAGGTGCTGGTCACACAAGTGTATTTTGTGAATATTCACCAAGCTGCACATGTCTCCGTGTGAATGATATACTCTGAGCCTTAGCTTCTTGGCTTGTAAAATGGGGTTAAAAATCTCTACTCCACAGGCTTACTGTTTATCAAAAGTGTTGTTTTTTGTTGGTCAAAAGAATGTCAAGTGTCCGGCACCTGAGACCACTCAGCAAAGCTCAGCTCCCCCTTTCTTCTGGTATGATCGGATTCTGGGGTCCCATCTCCAGAAGGACAGGGTTGCCCCCCACCCCTGGCACCTTCCCTCCCCTTCACTGACCTTCATGCCAAAGGTGAATATGGTAATGATGATCTTGAAGATCAGCGCCAGGGCCAGCTGCCAGATGGCCGTGTAAACCCCAACCCCAGCTGGCCGGTCGGGGATGTCATCCACGGGCCGCGTCATGTTGGGGTCGTTGATGTAGTCACACAGCTGGGAGGACTCAAGGGCCCCACAATCATTGAAGAGCTCGGAAATGAGCTCGCTTGTGCTGCGGCGTGTGTAGGGGTTGGGGTAGGCAACAATAGCAGTGATGGCAGTCACCGCGATGACCTCCAACACTGGGTACTTCCCCAGCTTGGTGGTCTTGCGCCTCCGGCACCAGGCAATGTTGCAGCGGATGAAGAGGGTCCCCCACAAGCCCCCGAAGACCCCAAGCAGGATGAATGGGAAGAGCTCAGCCATGTACCAGGGCGTGTGATACTCCACGTAGAAGAGGACGAGGCGGCTGTTCCCGAATGGATTGATGGATCGCAGCGTGAAGGCTGCCACCAGGGCCGCAAAAAAGGACCGCCACAGGGTCTTTAAGGGAAAGTAATAGCTGACCTGTGACCAACGAGTGAAAAATAAGAGACTGGTAGACAAAAGAGCTGCCCCAGAGCCCCAGACCCCCTGATCAGCAGCCCCCTGCAGGCCATTTGCCATGAAAGTCACTCTCAAATCAAAGATGGGAGGAACTTACTTCCTCAATCAGTGGTGTAAATAAGGCCCAAACACACAAAGATATCTTAAAGGACTCTGTCTAAAATTGGAACAGATACCATTTAAGGGGCATTTGAGCTATTTTATATAGAGAAATGAGAACACTATATCATAATTCTGTTTATGGCATAAAGAGCCTCCTAAAAGAAAATCAACCTTTGATTTGATCCTCCAGACAACAGATTCTGGGTTGAAACTCCTGGCTCAGCAGATGTATCTGGAGGGCGCATGAGTTAAGAATGGTTTTTACACTTTTAAATGGTTCAGAGAGGAAAAAAAATCTATATATATGTAACTGAATCATGGTGCTATACAGCAGACATTAACACAACATTGTGAATCAACTATACTTTTCAGGGAGAAAAGATTTTGAGACAGGAAATACTCAAAAGGAGGACAATACCTAGTGACAATGATAGAAAATTCAAACTTCAGCATTCATAAGGAAGGTCTTTTTGGAAGACAGCCAGGGAGCACATGTGCATGTGGTCTGCTGCACCTGCCAAGCTACAAGGGCCATGCTCAGTGGTTGGGACTAGGCGCTGAGACACACAAAGCCTCAAGTATTTACTATCTGACTCTTGACCTACAAAGTGGGCCGAGCAGTGGACTAGATCCATTCCAGTGGCAAAAAATAAAAATTGTTTATTCATTATGCTGTTTATGGAAGAGACAGGAGACTGCAAATCTCCACCCCCACCCCCGTCAAAATCACACTGGCAATTTTTAAAACAAGACTTCAAAAAAAAAGGTATTTCACGGACAACACTGTGGCTTCTTCATGAGTTGCAGGAATCTCTCAATCCTCCTTTTGATCCAGTCCTCAAGAGGGTTGAAGAAGAAAGCCCCCTGCCTTGCTGAGCCCCCATGTGTTCCTCGGCGCTCAGAACCATGGGGCCCCTCCACTGCTCATGCTCACCTCTTCCAGACTGAAAAGCACACCCCCAATCGGAGCACCAAAGGCCACGGAGACCCCAGCAGCAGCCGCAGCTGACAGCACCTGTGAGGCAAAGAGCTCCCATCAGTTCCAGGTCTTTCGGGAAAGTCAGCAGATGCAGGTAAGCCCAGAGGGGGCGGGGCTTCACCCTGCGCATGCTCACCTCACGCCTTTTGCCCTCGTTCTTGCTGTACTTGGAGAAAAGGCTGCTGAAGAAGTTGCCACAGCAACAGGCCACGTGCACCAGTGGCCCTTCCTTGCCCAGGCTCAGGCCTGAGGACACCACCAGCACCAGCGTGACAGTCTTGATCAGCAGGGTCCACTTGCCCAAGTAGCCCCTGATGATGAAGCCACTCAAGATGGTCTTTATCTGAAACATAGGACAGAGAAGGTGGGGGAGCGAGCCTCGTCAGTGCCTCTGCTAGGAAAATAACACCTGCCTCCTCCGAGAAGCATCTTTCAAGTTGAGATTCACTAAATTGCATGGAACAGAGACTGCTTTTGTTGGTAATTTAGCTATAATTTTATATTAGAATTTATATTAATGCCTACTTTTATACATTAATGGAACCCCCAAGACAATTCACTGCATGGTAAATCTTAATAATTCTGAGAGTAATGAGATCATTCAAGGAATGAATAAGTAATTATCAGTCTAATTTTACGTATGGCATTTCATCCTATGCAGGTTACCCTCTCTTGTGTTGAAAAGATAAGTGTATCTATTGATTTTAACTGTTAATTTTTGACTACTAAAAGATGGCCAAGATAAAGAGACATCTGGCTAGCTTTGTTGCAAAGAAATACAACAAAATATCAATGCAACTTTAGATAGGGGTTGGCTAACTATGGCTGGTGGGCCAAATCCAGACCACAGCCTATTTTCATATGACCCACAAGCTAAGATCTTTAAAACCTAAGCTTTTAATCTTTTTAAATATGTAAACAAGGTAAAAGAAGAGGGCAGCAGAGGACGTGATGGTTGGATGACATCACTGATTCAATGGACATGAATTTGAGTAAACTCTGGGAGACAGTGAAGGACAGGGAAGCCTGGCATGCTGCAGTCCATGGGATTGCAGAGTTGAACACAACTTAACTGTTAGTGAGAACAGTTCCTCAATTTTGCCTCCTGACCCACAAAGCCTTGGCTTCCCAGGTGGCGCTAGTGGTAAAGAATCTGCCTGCAATTTAGGAGATGCACATTCAATCCTTGGGTGGGGAAGATCCCCTGGAGGAGGAAATGGCAACCCACTCCAGTACTCTTGCCTGAAAAATCCCATGGACAGAGGAGCCTGCTGGGCTACAGTCTACGGGGTCACAAAGAGTCAGACATGACTGAACATACATGCATGCACTGGATATAGAAACATCACCAATGGATAAATAACATTTTATCTTCAACCTCTCCCACAATCGGCTGAAATGAAGTGAGTGTTTACTGCCTAGCTAGCAATTTACAAGCCTGTAATCAGAGATTCATTAGACACAGAGTGACCCAGCCAATGAAATTCGTGGTCAGTATCCATTTTCCCATTGTATAATGCACAATGGGACAATCTCAGCTCTTGTCACCGTCAGGATGTTTATATAACATCAAAGTGCCTCCTAGTGGGCACTGCTCTGCCAAGAAATCAGTTTCTCGAATAGCTATCCCAGTCCTTCTCGAGCTTGGTGCTCAATGGCATCCTCTGGGGAATCAGAAACCAAGGAAGACTAGTTAATCCCCTCACCCAGAAATCTGATATAATTGATCTGAGGTGTATCATGGGCACAGGGGGTTTACAGACCCCACAGGTAATTCTAAAAGGCAGTCCAGGTAGAGGAGCACTGTTCCCATCCTGAGAAGAGCGATACAAGTATTCCTAATTTCTCACTATTTAAGGGCAGTCCTGAAACACTCTTTGGCTATTCATCACCTGTAATGCTAATACTGGAAATTTTACATGGGTTTGAATAGACCATTTCCATCTCAGGAATTCCTGACAGAGATCTGTTTTTCTTAATTCAAAGAGAAAGACCAACAGTGACCAAGCATGTGGACATCTGTTTGAAAGAACTCACCAAGCTCCTTCCTAGAAAACACAAGGGAGGTCTTTCAGCTCTCTAATGAGATGAACTAGCCTTTAACTAAAGGCGCACAAACTAGCAGTGGTTAAACTGGTATTTAACTAGTGGTAGTGGGCCTATTTGAGCCTGTGCTCTGGGGAGCCCTGATCCCTTTATTTAAGGGATGTTTTATTATGCTTGCCACAATCCTGCCCTTTTGTATTGCCTAGAATAAAATTATCTATAATTTTTTGTCAGTTAGTTAATGTGGATTTGGACCCAAGGGTACACTTGAAGAGCATGATACCATTCAGAAAATTACAAGCATCTAAATTACCTGAGCCATTGCCAGCCACGACATGTGGTGAACTGAACAATGTGAGAGGTATTTTGTAATTCTCGAAAACGACTGAAGAAAATTGTCATGATCAAATTAGGGATTAAAGAAGGCAAATTCGTTCCCAGTAGATGCCAAAATCTAATCACCAGCTTTAATTTGAATTAATAGAGACTGAATCAAGCAGGGCTTTAAGGTGATGTATTGCAGCACATTTGTGACTTGATGATGCTAACTTTAAAACCTCTGTGCTGTGTGCTGTGCTTAGTTGCTCAGTCGTGTCTGACTCTGGGACTCCATAGAATGTAGCCCGCCAGGCACCTCTGTCCATGGGATTCTCCAGGCAAGAATACTGGAGTGGGTTACCATTTCCTCCTCCAGGAGATGTTCCCGACCCAGGCATCAGGACCTCCATCTCCTGCATTGCAAGGTGGATTCTTAACCACTGGACCACCGCACCCCAGATCACCTCCTATGATGGGAAGTATATTTTCTAAAAAGCTCATTTAGTGTCTTTGCCGAAATGAAGATCAGCCCGGTATCTCAAACTGAGTGGAGTTGGTTGTATGGTTAGTTGGGTTTTGACTGGAAGGGTGTTATTTGTACCCATGAATGATTTCTTTGCATTTACTTTTTACTCTGCTCCTTTCCTCTAAGAACTGGGGTAAGTGTTAGGAATTTCCAGCTCTATTATAATAACAATGAAAATCTGCTACTACTGAGTCATAATAACTAAACTTCAATTATAAAATGTCCATTGGGTTCCTGACACTTGAAAAGATTATTGTGAACTCTTTTATAAATAGAAACATGAATCTGTTACATATTATATACAGCTGAAAGCATATTCATGCACCTACTGTCATGTACCCACTCCCAAGTTTGTTTCTCAGTGGACTCCTCCAATCATTTCCTTGCCTTTCCTGATAGCTTTAGCACATCTAGGTATGACTAAACAGTATGCTTGTTTCATTTGGGCTGTTTTAGAGACTCTACAGAAATGGAACCATACTTCACATATTCTTCTCTAACTTACTTTTTCCACCTGATATCACTTTTTTGAACTTTATTGACATCAATGTGTTCCTTGCACTTTGTCATACAGGAAACAATGCTGAACTTGGTATCTTGACTCATTTTGGGTTCAGCTGTCATAAATGAAGACGCCATCTGTGGATGAACACCAGGTCCATCAGACGGCCTCCCAGAGTTCCCTGTCTGTGAGCTGGGCCATGCATCTCTGGTTCTTGGAAGAGGAAGATGGTATCCCTGCTTGTAACACCTTTTATTGCTGCCTTCAATTTCCCACCAATTCCCCACTACCCATCTCCTTATTTTGATAGGCAGCTTGAGTCCAAAAGCGCCTGTTGCTGGGCACTGGGATCAGAAACTAAGATGCCAACAATAATCTGCTCTCTTTGTCTCAATATCCAGTAAAAGGCAGTCAGTTCTGCCGGGATACTTGTTTGGAAAACACAAATTTTTCCAATGTGATTCATGCGTCGGGGCAGAACTTGAGCATGATGCCAATTTCGTGTCTGTTTCTGCACGATTTCCTCTGAGAGAAACACAAGGCGGAAAACTGCAGCCGTCAAACCGAGCCAACACACAAGCACACGTCTCGGACAACTCCCAGCTTGCATGCACACTAGGGCAGTATTCATACATTCCTTAACCATTTAACATGTGTCAAACTGTGCTACTGGTTCTATGTGGTTCCCATCTTTTTTATGTGCCACCAATGAGGTTTCTGGGCACTGTGCCCCTAACTCCATCTTCCCGACAAGCTGTGTGGTTTTGGTGATGCACTTTCCCATTGTCCTATGACTTGGCATGCATATGGTACATTAGGAACTTCCCAGGTGGCTCAGTGGAGACACGAGTTCAATCCCTGGGTGGGAAAGACCCCCTGGAGAAGGAAAAGGCAAACCCACTCCAGTATTCTTGCCTGGAGAATTCCATGGACGGGCAAGCCTGGCAGGCTACAGTTCATGGGTCACAAAGAGTCAGACACAACTGAGCACGCACGCATAGTGCACTGCAGCAGCACTGGCTGTAAGAGGAAACATGATGGTATTGCAGCTTATTTTTTAGGTTCCTCCAGCAACGTGTTAATATAAACTATCCAAAACTCAGCATGAACTCGCCTTCTTAAAACATCTTTTCCTGGAACAAGACAATGCTGAGCTTTCCTTTCAATGAAGCTTTAATTATCCCAGCCCTTCCCATGAACCGCCCAGACCAGCGGTGCTATTGGCGGTACTGTACAAACAGTGTGGGTCCGCTGCCATGACCGCTCACATCTTTACAAACTCAGTATCTCCACTGTCTATGGGAGCTGCTAAAGCACCAACTTGAAGGAGAATGCAACAGCACTGATCAGAGTGATCGTCTAAGAACTTTTAACATGATTTCTGGCTCAAAGCTGCACTGTCTGGGCTTTTCGGGAATTGGCTCAATTATGGTTTTTCGAACCCAGCAGATCCTCCGTGGTTTGAAGTTTGGTCCCGGGCATTCTTCCTGATCGATGAGGTCACTTCCCTCATGCTCTGGTTACCAGAAAGAGCTGAAAAATATTTATAAGAACTCTAAACTCACACGGGTGCATCCACGGCGCATGTAGTGAACATGGAATTTACTTTTTAAAGATTGCTATTATCCTCTCACAAGCAGAGCAAAAATGTGGCAAGGGAGTTTAATCAATAAACTTTCTGAACACCAAACTTCCACTGTTGTCCTTTTTCACATCTTATCATCGATATACTTGCACACGTGCATGCTCAGTTGCTCAGTTGTGTCTGACTCTTTGTGACCCCATGGACTATAGCTTGCCAGGTTCCTCTGCCCTTGGGATTCTCCAGGCAAGAATACTGAAGTATGTTGCCATGCACTCCTCTAGGGGATCTTCCAGACCCAGGGATTGAACCTGAGTCTCCTGCATTGGCAGGCAGATCCTTCACCACTGCACCACCTAGGAAGCCCTAGATGCACTTAAGGGTTACTATAGGACCATGTCTGTGTGTGTGGTTAATGAACTCCTATTCTACAGGCTTTAAGACTTCTGCCTTGTCTGCAAAGACAAGAACTGAAGCATCTGAGAATAAACAGAGCATAAATCCTGAAGCCAGACAGCTGGCTTCAACTCCCAGCTGACCAGCTTAGTGACCGTGGGCAAGTTACTTAACCTCTCTGTTCCCCAACCATCAGATGAAGAATAACAGTACTGACCTCATAGGCTCTCTGTGAGAATGAATGAGTGAACAAATGTCCAATGCTGGGAACCATGCTTAGCACCTAAGTGCCATGTAAGTGCCTGCTCTTCTAATAACTGGCACAAAAAGCCAACCCCCACTCACCTCGGGTATACCAGAGCCACAGGCATATGGTGCAAATACTCGTACCAGGGAGACGGCCAGAAATGCAAACAGCAATGCCCACAGGATGTACATTAGGTAATTCAGAATGTAAGCACTGGCACCCTAGACAAGACACAGAACAAGAAAAGACACGTGAGCCATTGCAGACCCAAGCAACAGGCATACCCCTCTAGAATGAGAGAGGACCCTCTGACCCGACTGGGCAGATTTTCGCCTGGTCCTGTGTCAACAAAGAGGCAGGTTAGTTTTATCAGCTGTTGCTATTGCTACAGCAGTTCACACAGACACAGCACCAGCTGCTTTTCCAGGAGCTGTGTACACACATCTTCCACCAGGTGACACCTCAGCAGCCCTGGAAACTGTGAATGAGGCTTGGTTTAAATCGCTCTGTGCACTTGAGTTAATAAAAGGCATGTGACAGAAAATTCTGCCTTTGGGCCCCCAGAAGGTTTGTTTGGTCTCGTCTGCGGTGAATCAGCCTCTTTGCTTTGGTGAAGGCCAAACCCACACTGTGATTAAAACCAAAGAGGAAGTGTGTGAATTGCATTTTTTAAACTTTTTATTTTGTATTTGGGTATAGCCCATTAACAACGTTGTGACAGTTTCAGGTGGGCAGAGAAGGGACTCAGTCATACATATACATGTATCCATTCTCCCCTAAACTCCTGTCCTGTCCAGGGGGAACTGCATTTTAGAATACTGCTACTCAGATGTGGCCCCTGGACTGGCAGCATCAGCTGGCGTGGAGTGGAAATGCAGTCTCAGGCCCTGCTCAAACATTCCAAATAATCTGATGTGTGGGGAACACTTTCTGAACCAACAACACAGTCTGGGGTCTTTGAGGCTGAGGACCTGGTGTGCTAGGCAGAGACTACGATTCTCCAAGGCCTCAGCTTCTTGCCACCATCTGGATCTCTCACATAATGAGCAGGAAAAACCAGGGTGCCTATAAGCCAGGCCACTGACACAGCCACACGTGCGCCTGTAAAACACAAAAACATGCTCCAGGAGATAGCTCTAGCCTTAACAGCCAGAGATATTCATACCTGATATGGTGAGAAATCAGGAATACATTTCACCCAGAGAAAAATGGACTTTTCTGCGACTAAAAATAACATCGCACCCTGGCTAACAGTAATTCTTTGAATCCAAGTATAAATCTTGGAGATGGTCAAGAAGCTAGACGGCCATAATTCCCCCCAAAGTGGGCAAGAAGAAACCAAACATGGCGGCCAGCCAATTCAGCCTGCCCACCTCCATCCAAGTGAGACTTTATTTTTGGAAGTGATGGAGAGCACTGAGGATGTGTGAGATTTCAAGAGCCCGTCAACTTCTGAGATTTGACAGAATTCATTTTCAACTCCACTGAGAAAGGTTGAGCAAAATGGCAAAGTACATTCCAGAAGTCTTCAGCAGAGGTAAATCAATTGGACAAAGGAGAATGGGGGAGCGAGGAGGAGAATGTATCTTTCAAGAACAGTTCTGTGTTGAACAGTCCTCACAGTACCCTAACGTGAATCCTGGCAACCTAGCTCCCTATCATCTGGGTTTCTGATCTGTTGATGACCCTTAGTCATTGTGGTAACCACGGAACTCAGTTAGAAATTAACCCTTTTCCTGAACAAAGATTTGTGCGGATCTGAAAGTCAGAGTGCCATGAAGGCAAGCGCCTGGTCTGTGCTTCACTGCTACAGCCCCTAGGCTGGGATATTCCCGTTGCAGAAGGCCCACAAACATCCTCTCTGATGTGTTCCTAAGATGCACTGGAAGATGATAACTGTCTCCACAGGGAGACAGCACTTCTCATCTGCTAGGAGGGCTAAGATCCAAACCCGGTAACAACAACTGGGGTCGGTGAGAATGTGGGAAAGCTGGAACCCACATACGCTGCTGCTGGAATGTAAAAAGGTACAGCCACTTTGAAAGACTGGCAGCTCCTCAAAAGGTTAAATACAGGGTTGCCATGTGACCCAGGAATTCCCCTCTAGGTATGGACCCCAAAGCAATGAAAACATATGTCCACACAAAAACCTGGAGATAAGCTTTCAAAGCAAAGTCATTCATAAAAGCACAAAAGTGGAAGCAACATGTGTTCCTCAGCTGTTGAGTAGAGAAATGACACATGCTATATGCAGACAATGGCATGTTATTTGGCCATGAAAAGGAATGAAGTCCCAATTTATGGTATGACACAAATGGAACTTGGAAAACATTATGCTAAGTGAATGAAGCAAGACACAAATGTCCACGGATTGTATATTCCATTTATAAGAAATGTCCAGAATAGGCAAATCTGCAGAGGTAGAAAGCAGATTAGTGGTTGCCTAGGGCTCGCAGATTTGGGGGGAAATGGGGAGTGACTGCTGACAGGTACAAGGTTTCTTTGGGAGTGATAAAAATGTTCTAAAATTAGATCAGGGTGATGGTGGCACAAATGTGTGAACACTCTAAAAGAATATTAGAATATTCACATTAATATTAATTAATTAATATTAATTACACAGATTAATGTATACACATAGAATATCCTCTGGAATATGAATTACATTCACTAAAGCCATTTTTCTAAAACAATATCTTTTCTCCTCAGTTAGAAGAAATAAAAATCAACCCTATTTCTTTAGCATGATCAAAAGACCACGCTTGGTAAGAAAAATAAAACCGAATACCAGGTTTTAAAAACTACATACATTGTACACGTGAAATAATGGGGAAGGACTTTCCAGTTGAAGTTTGAACCCTAGAGCTAGAAAAAAAGCTGAGTGGGAAGTGGCACTCATATTAGCCACAGACGAAGGTCAGAGCAGAAGGTGAGTGCATGGACATTCCCCAGCAGCAGCCAGGGGGCTCCCAGCCAGGACACACCCAAGCACTCACCTCCGACTGATTCACCAGCAGCTCCGACCACTTCTGCCACAGGGGACACTTGTCCCTGTCCTCAAACGTGGTCTCATTGGAAGTCCAGCAGCACTGCTCATGGCTATACCAGAAGGCGGACAGGCAGATGCCCTCTTTCAGGTCGGTCATCCAGTCGACAGCAAGATCGATGACCCCGGCCAGAGTGCCTGGAAGAAGCAGCAAGAGCCACTGAGATGGAAGCCAGCTGGGCCCAGGCAGCATGGAGGGCAGGCAGAGATGCCCGCGCCCCAGGCTAACGCATGCCCCAGAAGCCTCTTTCATCAGTCTTGAGGTCACCTGAGCATGTGGCAGGGCCCATGGTGTGGAAAAGGTGGCACCCAGCCCACTGAGACACAAAGGCCAATGATATACAGTCCTCGAGGGGCTTCGATCACACAAGGAGGGAGAGACCTGCAGGGCAGAGTTCACCGCAACCCCCTGGGGCTTTCAGAACGCAGCCCTTCTAAGTTTTAGAACTAGGGTACCAACACCCAATAAAAGATGGAACCCCCTCAGCGACTTCTGGGGCAGGATGCTGGAATCACAAACTTATCTTTCCAGAAAAGACAATTCAGTCAAAATGGAGAGAAATCAACTATGACAGCCTCATCATTTCAATCAAATTTTATATCTAAATGGAACCCAACTTGAAAAATGTCACTTATTAGAATCTTCTGAATTTTTACATTTTGGTTGAAGGACTGAGGAGCGATTTAAGTAAATAACTACTCTAAAGGCCAATAGAAGTGGGATAAAATAGAGTGTGCAGTGGGTCACAGAAGGCCATCTTACCAGAGTAATCCATTCCAGTCCTTTGTGAAGGCAGAGAATACTCTCAAGCTACCAAAGTTTTCAAATTTTTACTAGTCTTTACTACAATATTATTTCTCTGCCAGCATCAACACCAAAGGCAGCCATATACCAACAAAAGGCCACCTGGCCCTGCCACTCTCCTGTTTCATCAGCAGTCACCCATTGCTCTTTCCAGAACTGCCCAAATCCTCAGCAGCACACAGGCTCTTTCCTCAGTCTCCGAGTTTCTCTCCAGGCTCCTCTCTCTCTACCACGAACCCCACACGCTGCCCACGCCATGTTCCTGAGCACACCAGGCCCTCCTCTCTGCACCACCTCTGACAGCGCTGTCCTCCCCTAACCAGGCAAGCTCCTATTTATCTTCCAAATGCTGACATTTCCATCACCTCCTTCAGGAAGTCCTCCCTGATTTCCTATGTCTAGGCTAAGTATATTTCCCAGGCATCCAGCCATCCCCATACTTATCACATCCTGATAAGATTATATTTATATGTGTACACACACACACTCTGACTAGTCTATAAGTGGGGCAGGGAGAGAGTCTCTTGTCTGGTTCATGTGCCACCATGGGAATCAGGCTAGGCATCCAGACCCTATGTTCCCTTTAAGTGGGCAAGGGCCCCCAGCCTTGTCCACTGTTGTATGCATATCAGGTGTACAGCTGGAAATATATATCAGGTTGAATGAATGAGAGCAACAAATGAATGAAAATCAGAAAACTCAGGTCCATCCATTCACTCAAGGGCTACTTACTGAGCACCTACTTACTATGGAAGCAAGCTCTACACCCTGGGGTACAGCACTGAACAAAGCAAACTCAGGTCCCTGCCTTCACGGAATCCCACCTCATGCAGGGAGAAAGACACTAGACTAAGTACGTACATACGTAAGGGGGCTTCCATTGTAGCTCAGCTGGTAAAGAATCTGCCTGCAATGCAGGAGACCCAGGTTCGATTCCTGGGTTGGGAAGATTCCCTGGAGAAGGAAATGGCAACCCACTCCAGTATTCTTGCCTGGAGAATCCCATGGATAGAGAAGCCTGGAGGGCTACAGTCCATGGAGTTGCAAGAGTTGGACATGACTTAGCAACTAAACCACCACCAAGTAAGGGGCTCTGACAACAGGTGTAAGTGATGGAGAGAAGAATACAGTGTGCTCCAGTGGCGGCCATTTCCCACAATGGTGCCGGAGAACAAGTGGGCAGATCCTCAAAAAGCTAAACCAAGAGTCACCATCTGACCAAAGAATTCTAGTCCTTGGTGTCTGCCCATGAGGAATGAAAACATATATCCTCATAAAGATGTGGACGCAGATGTTCACAGCAGCATATTCACAAAAGCCAAAAAGTGGAAACAACCTGTATGCCCATCAGCTGTTGAAGGGAAGAACCAAATGTCATCCACCTAGGATGGCAATAAAAAGGAATGAAGTACGGACACTTGGGACAGTGTGGATGCGCCTTGGAAACAGTATGCTTAAATGAAGCAAGTCAGAAAAGATCACATATTATATGATTCCATTTTATGAAATGTCCAGAATAGGCAAATCTACAGAGATATAAAGTAGATCGGCAGCTGTCTAAGACTAAAAAGAGGCTGGGGGCACTGTGGCTGATAGCTGAAGGGTAGGGAGGTTCTTTGGGAGCTGGTGAAAATGTTCTAAAATCGATCTTGGTGTTGGCTACAAAAAAGGTGAATTGTATGGTATGTGAGTTACAGCTCAATAAAGCTGTTACATACATACACACATACATACATAATGGTGGACGAGGGGGATGAAGATCCGAGAGAGAGAAAGGTACTTTTAGAAAAGGTGACAAGAAAGATGACCTTTGAACAAAAACGTTGTGTGGAACAACAGCGACCCCCAGCGGTGGCTCTGGGTTAATGCCCTTCATAGGCGCTGCATTGGGTCTCTCCATCTTAGGAGTCAGAATACAATACCCAAGCTGCCACTAAGGTGACAGGCCAGGCAGTGGGACTCCTGGGTCTCACCACCATTAGACAGCTGGGGAATGGGAAGGCGAATGGGGCAGAGTTTTCTGGATTTCCCTTCCCAGTACATCCAGATCAAAAGAACACTTTAGCCACCTGAATAGAGGAGGGAGGCCCCACAGGTAGAAGGGGCTTTACTCAATGCTAGGGCGTCATTTCTGGAATACTATTTAATTGCAATTTGGGCAGCAGTATTTTTAAATCCCCAGGTGATCCCACCTAAAAGAAGTGAGGGAAATTGGATTACCAGAGAAGCCAGGTTGTTTGTATCTGATGTGTTAAAGACAGCCCAACTAGGCTTTTGGATCAGTTGATAAATCTAGGCCAGAACATCTCCTCGGATTCCTTCATTTTCCATGTCCATCTCTCCTTTCCAGGAGCCAAAAATAACCCTAGGTAGCATTTTATAAATCTATTCTAAACAAAGACATCAAAATTCACAGCAAACTACTTCTCCGCCTTCCTTTAAAGGTCTTCACATTAGCAGTCAAACAAAGGGGTGGCAAATGTCGTATATCTATGAACTGCTACCAATATCCATGGGGAGCACCATGGGGAGCGGAAGGGCAGGATGGGGCGAATGGGCAGCTGCTGTGACTGGAGGGAGAGGACTGCCACTTCAGCACTTTTCTGGGTGCTTTATGACCCACCAGGCACACAGAGCCCTTCCCTGGCAACCGAGCCCTTCCCACCATTGTCAATGTAACAAATGACAAGTGGCCAGAAATCAGAGTCCTCCAATCACAAAATTTCACTGTGCCCCATGGGAGTGCTGTCAGACAGCATGTACTACACTGGACCCATATCACAGTCATTCTCTGATCAGTCGTATAACCATAACTATGATGTTACTACAGGCAGGGGATTTTCTTAAGGAAATCTCTTTAACTTGATCAGTTTTTTCCTCTTTGACATTAACCTTCACAGCCTCCTAAGAGGAAGGAAATTTCAGGAAACGATTTCCATGGAGGGCTGGAGTGTTTGCTATTAAAAGGGGAGGTGTCCCCTCCAGATACATGTTCATTTGCTCTGAAAACACTGATGGGTCACAATGATGTGGTGTTGGGATTATAAAAATGAAGGACACAGAGTCCCTGAGGGTCAGAACAACCCAAGGACTGGAGGTACCTCTCCCAGGCCTCTCTCAGACCCTGCAGAGTCTCGTGTTACTGGGAGCGTCTCTCGATGTTCATCCCAGGACCTGCCAGTGTTAGTCAAGTTCATTCTCACAAGATGTTTTAGAGAGCAAAACGTTCCCATCCTTTCGAGCCTGCTCCATAGCCAAGTCCTACAGAATGTGAAGTGTGTGCTTTTGGTTTCTCAGTCATGTTCCACTTTTGTGACCCCCATGGACTGTAGCCCGCCAGGCTCCTCTGTCCATGGGATTCTCCAGGCAAGAATACTGGAGTGGGTTGCCATTCCGTTCTCCAGGGGATCTTCCCAATCCAGGGATCGAACCCGTGTGTCTTGCACTGGCCAGTGGATTCTTTACCACTGAGTTACCAGGGAAGCCCAGCTCTCTTGGTACCAGTCTCCAATGACTGTACCTGGTCTACCCATGCCTTGGGGTCTCCTTGCTTCACTGATGCTAGATTAGTAAGTCTTCTATTTTGCTCTTAGATATTTCAAGCCGCAAACTCCTGGCATGAAGTACAAGAGAAACAGCACGTACCTGCCAGCAGGCCGATGAGCAGCATGACTGCCCATCCCGACCAGGCATCCAGCAAGCTCTTGATGAACTCCCATATGGACTCCTTGCTTTTGCTGGTTATCTAGAAATAAAAAGACATCAGAGCTGATGTGGATACACGTTCCAATTCAAACTTCCTTTTCTGCAACTGTTTCCTCAGGAAACAGGGTGACTGAGAAAACAAATGCAATTAAGCAACTAGATGGCCACTTAGGTGATTCTTTCAGTTACCGAGCGTGATGGTCAAATGGGCTTTCTCGTTCACAGAGCTATGAAGATGACGATCTCCAAAAAATCAGAATCCCCCAAAAAAATCACTTAAGTAAAAAAGCCTTACTAAGCATGACTGGATCCCTGATTATTCCAAAGTCATTCTGAAGGGAGACATCACTTTGGTGTCAGCATTTTCTATACGAATCACTATTTCAGCTTATATAGTAATGCCTGTTCACAAAAGACCAACAAAGATTTCATTTCCTTCTTTGGTTTTCAGGCTACATGTTAACAGCAAGAACATCTTGGTCAAATACGTTTTATTTAACTGGTACATTCCAAGCATAAGAACACGTGTGTGTGTGTGTGTGTGTGTTTACAGCTATGGACTTTTGGACATCTTTTTTCTAAAGTGTTTAACTTATTTTTTTATTGGAGAACAGTTGATTTACAATGGTGTGTTAATTTCAGGTGTACAGCAAAGTGAGTCAGTTTTATATATATCTTCTTTTTCAGATTCTTTTCCATTATAGGTTATTACAAGATATTAAATATAGTTCCCTGCACTATACAGTATGACCTTGTTGTTATCTATTTTATATGTAGTAATATGTATCTGTCAATCCCAAACTTCTAGTTTATCTCCTCCCTACTTTCCCCTATGGTAACCGTAAGTTTGTTTTCTATGTCTTGGAATGTTTTTGTTTTGGAAATAAGTTCATTTGTATTAAATAAGTTCATTTGTATATTTTAGACTCCACATATAAGCGATATCATTTTTGTCTTTCTCTGTCTGACTTACCTTACTTACTATGATAATCTCAAGTTGAATCCATGTTGCTGCAAAAGGCATTATTTCATTCATTTTTTATGGCTGGAAAGTACTCCACTGTATGTATTACCACATCTTCTTTATCCATTCCTCTGCTGATGGGACACTTAGGTTGCTTCCATGTCTTGCATGTAAACAGTTAAGAGTTTTCTCTAATATGCCCAGGAGTGGGATTGTTGAATCATATCATATCTCTATTTTTAGTTTTTAAGTAACCTCCATACTGTTCTCCATAGTGCTGTACCAACTGACCTTCCCACCAATGGTCTAGAAAGGTTCCTTTTTCTCCATATTTATTATTTGTAGACTCTCTCTACAGCATTTATTATTTGTGGACTTTTTGATGATGGCCATTCTGACCTGTATGATATGACAACTTACTGTGGTCTTGACCAACAGCAAAAATGCTGAATGAGGCAGCATGGACCACGTTTCCCAGGCAGATGGTTATGTCTACACACAGTGTCGTTCAGTCAGCTCAGTCGCTCAGTCGTGTCTGACTCTTTGCAACCCCATGAATTACAGCACGCCAGGCCTCCATGTCCATCACCAACTCCCAGAGTTTACTCAAACTCATGTCCATTGAGTCTGTGATGCCATCCAACAAGCTCATCCTCTGTCATCCCCTTCTCCTCCTGCCCCCAATCCCTCCCAGCATCAGGGTCTTTTCCAGTGAGTCAACTCTTCGCATGAGGTGGCCAAAGTACTGGAGTTTCAGCTTCAGCATCAGTCCTTCCAATGAACACCCAGGACCGATCTCCTTCAGGATGGACTGGTTGGATCTCCTTGCAGTCCAAGGGACTCTCAAGAGTCTTCTCCAACACCACAGGTCAAAAGCATCAATTCTTCGGGCGCTCAGCTTCCTTCACCGTCCAACTCTCACATCCATACATGACTACTGGAAAAACCATAGCCTTGACTAGACAGACCTTTGTTGGCAAAGTAATGTCTCTGCTTTTTAATATGCTATCTAGGTTGGTCATAACTTTCCTTCCAAGGAGTGTCTTTTAATGTCATGGCTGCAGATGTCATCACCATTTGCAGTGATTTTGGAGCCCCAAAAAATAAAGTCTGACACTGTTTCCACTGTTTCCCCATCTGTTTGCATGAAGTGATGGGACCAGATGCCATGATCTTAGTTTTCTAAATGTTGAGCTTTAAACCAACTTTTTTACTCTCCTCTTTCACTTTCATCAAGAGGCTTTTTAGTTCATCTTCACTTTCTGCCATAAGGGTGGTGTCATCTGCATATCTGAGGTTATTGATAGTTCTCCCGGCAATCTTGATTCTAGCTTGTGCTTCTTCCAGCCCAGCATTTCTCATGATGTATTCTGCATATAAATTAAACAAACAAGCAGGGTGACAATATACAGCCTTGATGTACTCCTTCTCCTATTTTGGAACCAGCCTGTTCGTCCATGTCCAGTTCTAACTGTTGCTTCCTGACCTGCATACAGGTTTCTCAAGAGGCAGGTCAGGTGGTCTGGTATTCCTGTCTCTTTCAGTATTTTCCAGAGTTTGTGATCCACACAATCAAAGGCTTTGGCATAGTCAATAAAGCAGAAATAGATGTTTTTCTGGAACTCTTTTGCTTTTTTGATGATCCAATGGATGTTGGCAATTTGATCTCTGGTTCCTCTGCCTTTTCGAAAACCAGCTTGAACATCTGGAAGTTCACAGTTCACATATTGCTGAAGCCTGGCTTGGAGAATTTTGAGCATTACTTTTCTAGCATGTGAGATGAGTGCAATTAGGAGCCCCCTTTTCCCTCGCTGTGTTAACAGAATCCTACATCCCTGAGATCATCATTCCCCTACACCCCTAAGAGCAAGGGCTGGCAAACATTTCCTATAAAGAGACAGAAAGTCAATATTTTCAGCTTGGAAGATCAGATGGTCTCTGTGGCAACTACTGGAGTCTGTGGTTGTCACACAAGAAGAGCCATAAAGAGTGTGTGCATGCGCAGGCACGGTTGTGTGCCAAGGCAGTGGGAGTTCTGGGAATAGGCAATGCACTGGATTTGCCCAAGGGCCACAGTCTTCAACCCCTGTTCTGGACGGAAGGCTGCCCCTTCGCCTCTGTTCCTCCAGGTCAACGCCAATCGCCTGCATCAGTGTCCACAGGATCTCACTCTCTACACACCTCTCAGCCTCCCTTCCCTGCCACTGTGTAAAATGATGTGACTCGGTCTCACTCTGGATGTGACAGCTCATTCAGACTCTCTGAAGCTGTCCTCGCCTTTGTGGCTGCTGCATCTCTGACCTGACCTCTCAGTGAAGGGAGCTCCATCCTCACCACTCTCTCCCCCTTTCACTTGCGACCACTCTGCTGGTTGCCCTCCTTCACCTAAGCATCCATCCCTGGTCCCCAGTCCCTCCCACGGAACCCGCTATATCCTGGCAACACTCCTGATCTCTCCCTCTCCAGACCCAGGCCACCTGGACCACTTCTAAAGCTTCAGCACCCACTCACATGCCAAGGACCTCTCATTCTCCACCGCAATCCCGACCATGCCCTTGAACGGCACAGGGCTGCAGGCTGGACAAACAGCTCAAACTTCACAGCAGCTGAAACACAACTCAGCGGCCTCACCTGAACATCTGCTGCTCTGCTTTCCTCCCATCTCGTCATCCAAGGTCTCACCTCCTTCTGACCACAGCCAGGCCATCATCCTAATCCCAGTACTGCCCCCCATCCTGCCAATGGCTCCTGTGAAGGATCGTGACCCCAAGCCTCTCTCCATTGGCACTCTTGTCAGATCTTCTTCCTCTTTCTCCTGAACTCGTTTCCAAGCTTCCTGTTTAACCCCTGGTGGAGCATCTCTCTTGTGGCCATCAAAAGGAAATGTCAACTCTTCTACTCAGTCATTCCCAATGTGGCCCCATTGCCCATGCACCCAAGCTCATCTACAGTCCTCTCCTTCCTTGACTCTGCCACCAGACCTCAGAGCTCCTTAAACTGCCTAAATGTGCAGTTTTTCATGTTCCCGTGACCTTAAAAAGGGCAGCTCCTGATTAGGACCCTTTCCCCTTCCTCTGCCTAGCACACTCTTACTCATCCATCAACACCCCACTGAAATGCCACCCTCACTATAAAGTCCCTCCTTCATGGCCCCTCCTAAATGATCCCACAGCACTTGATACACAACTTTATTGGAGTCCATTGGAGTCCATTAAAATGCATCTTGAAGCCAGTGAGATGCCAGGTGCTGTAATATGTGCTTTCATACACACATAGCCTCATTTATCTCTAGGTATAATTAACTTCATTCTTGCAAGTAAGAAGGTCCACTTGCAAGGTCCAAAAATAGCACCCCAAAAGTGACCCAGCCTGAAGGTGGCATGGTCAGGATATACCCGATCTATCTGGTTCCAGAGCCCCCTCCTCGCCCTCCACACCACACCTTGGTATGACACAGCCTCCCACCCAAAGCACCTGGTACTATAATTATCTGTTCACATCACTTCCTTCTTTTCTCTAGAACCCGCCTTAGAACATGATGCATGAATCCAAGTACTAGCTCAGTAAATATCTGGTGAAAGCATGACTAAGCCCTCTTGAAGGGATTCCCCTCAATGTGGCTTTATGAACAGCACAGACCTTCCTGTGTCTGTCAGTGTCCCGTGATTTTTCCCTCAGCCAGTCGATGGTGTGGAAGTCCTCATATGTCCCCACATCAGGGAATGGCTCGTCGAGGAAATCCATCAGGTTTTCAGAACCACTGATCACTCCTGTATTGACCATGCTACTTACATCTGGAAGAGAAAATCTGTGGTTAGAAATGAAAGCAGGGCATCTGCACAGTCCTGGAAGGACAATCTATGTGCTCTATTTTCTGGTACCAGAAAGACTGATTTCAGCATAAGTGGTTCTGCTGTGATGAAAACAGTCTGTCTTAGTCAGTATCGACTGCTGTAACAAAAATACCACAGACTGGTTGGCTTATCAACAACATACATTTATTTCTCACATTTTCAGAGGCTGGCAAGTCCAAGATCAAGGCACTAACAGATTTAGTGCCTGCTGAGAGTCCACTTCCTAGTTCATGTGGCCGTCTACTCACTGTGTCTTCATGTGATGGAGGTCTATAGGTCTCTTTCATAAGGGCACTAATCCCATCCAGGAGGGCCCCACCTTCATGACCTCATCACCTTCCAAAAGTCCTTCTTCTTAATATTATCGTAGTGGGGATTAGGCTTCAACATATGAATTTTTGGGAAACCCAAACATTAATTACTTATTATTTGAGGCAGTTATGTGCTATAAAGTCACCATGGCCACTAAATTAGTGAGTACTGAAGCACTATCCCTAAAGAATTATAAGGTTAGGTTACTTGGAACCTTTAGTCACAACATCAATATATAACTTTATTTTGTGTTTCCATTTAAAGACACCTTATCAGATACATATGGACTTCCCACATGGCTCAGCAGTAAAGAATCCACCCACCAATACAGGAGATGTGGGTTCAATCTCTAAGTTGAGAAGATACCCTAAAGAAGGAAATGGCAAACCACTGCAAGTCTTCTTGCCTGGGAAATCCCATGGACAGAGGAGCCTCGTGGGCTACAGTCCATGGGGTTGCAAAAGAGTCACACACAACTTAGCAACTAAACGACAACAGCAAAAATATCAAATATATATTGTTGACTCATTCACACTGAACTCACAACCAACAGCACTGTCACTCATGCTGCAGGAAGCTTGTCTAACACACGTATTTTCTCCATAAGGCACAGTGCAGCCTTCTCAGGCTCAGAAACACTACAGGACCTCCCACCCTGCATCTCAGGGCCATCGGAAACAATGAAATTACCAGTTTAAAAAAAAGGAACAAAAATGGGAAAAATATGGTACTAAAGGAATTGTGAAAAGGACACTTGTTTCTGGTCTGGGAACTAAAACAAGAGAGCTGAGCACCATCTTCTCCAACCTTAGCAAGGATCATGCATTTCTGGCAGCTCACCACGTGCACTCTGCAAATGACTGGCCAAGCACCACACATATTAATTGCTCTGGGGCTTACAAATACATTTTAGTGAGAAGGCAAATTCACAAATACAGAGCCAGTCATACTGACAGTCGACTACACACATTTATGGAAAACCTCACATTCTGCAAAAGCAGGACATCAAAATGAGAGAGCTGGTGGAGGAGTGGGGAATAGGGTTGAGGCCTACCACTCAAAACCAAATCACTGTAATCAAACCAGTAACCAGCTCCCCTAAGAGATAAAGTGGACCATGCAGGCAGGCAGCCTCTGGGGCTGTAGTGTGGATAGCCAAGACCTACAAAGGTCTGTCAAGTCAAAGCTGTGGTTTTTCCAATAGTCCTGTATGGATATGAGTTGGAACATAAAGAAGGTTGAATGCCAAAGAACTGGTGCTTCTGAACTGTGATGTTAGAGAAGACTCTTGAGAGTCCCTTGGACTGCAAGGAGATCAAACTAGTCAATCCTAAAAGAAATCAACCCTGAGTATTCTGTGGAAAGATTGATGCCGAAGCTGAATCTCCAATCCTCTGGCCACCTGATGCAAAGAACTGACTCATTTGAAAAGACCCTGATGCTGGGAAAGATTGAGGGCAGGAGGAGAAGGGGACAACATGAGATGGTTGTATAGCATCACCAACTCATGGACATGACTTTAAGCAAACTTTGGGAGGACAGGGAAGCCTGGAGTGCTGGAGTACATAGGGCTGCGAAGAGTGGGACACGACTGAGTGACTGAACAACAACGCCAGTAGCAGCAATGGGAGAGTGAAAATGCTGGCAAGACTTAACTGGTGGGAGAGTCATTCTACGATCTGAATGTTTGTGCCCCCACCCCAAATTCATATGTTGAAACCCTAATCCCCAGTGGATGGTATTAGAAGGTGGGATCTTTGGGAAGCGATTGGATGCTAAGGGCAGAGTCCTCATAAATGGGATTAGTGCTCATATAAAAGAGGCCCTAGGGAGCACACTGGCCCCTTCCACCGCATAAGGACACAACAAGAAATCTGTGACTGGGAGAAGAGCCCTCAGTCAACCACACTGGCAGCCTGATCTCAGACTTCCAGCCTCCAGCACTGTGAGGAATAAATATCTGTTTATAAGCCACCCAGCCTGTGGTATTTTGTTATAGCCAACCGAACAGACTAAGACAAGCCAAGAGCCATGCCAGGCTGGAGGCACGCTGCCCTGGGCAAGCTGCCCTGAGTGCAGGCACTCACTTCTAATTTTCCTTAAAATCCAGTCAAAAGGGCGCCTGCTGCCAGGGCAGTAGCAAAGTTGCATATTTCTTCCTCTCTTGCCTAAGATCACAATTCCACTCCCATTAACCTGGCTCCCCTCATCTGGAAAACAATCGCAAATAAACCAAGACATCTCCCTCAGTTACACTGCCATTAGAACCTGATTTACAGATCACGTAGGAACTCATTTGACCCAGAGAAAATGCTCTGCAGCAGGACCAACGCTCACCCCCAGTTAACGAGAAAAATCATGTACTCTTACAAAGACAAGAGGTTGGAATAAGCACTAAATTAAAATTACTTTGGCAAAGAGCATGGCAATGTGAATTATAAGGCAGAGACCACAAAAGTGCCAGAATAAGATGGTTAAAGGGAAGGGTGGTTATTAAAATATTTGAGCACAGGCTTCTCTCACTGCTTTATGTATTTTTACATCTGGAGGACTCACCCATGACCTGACAAAACTGCATTTTGATCAAATTGAGAAGTCGCTATAGGCAAAGTGGAGTAATCACCCTACACACAGTAAAGTGGCCATAGTAACGGATTTATTGACTGCGCAACTTAGCTGCTTTTAAAACTCTAAAAGTTTGAGGTTTGAACCATGCCAAGCTGAAAACTATACCCACCGATGAGTGCCCAGGGAAGAAGTATATTGCCGAAGTCAGTAGCAACCAATAAGAAAAGAGAAAGCATAAAGTTAGAAAGCAAAGATTTCATTCTCACTTTTACAAAAACAAGATGGTAATAGCCTTGTTTTATACGCGGTAAAGAAAATCTCTAATGGGAAAAAGGCGGCAGCAGGCTGTTAACTCACCACAGGGAGCCCCTGTAAGAAAAACCTGAACAGCAGCAGAGTGAAGAACTGCAGACACTTGGATGTTCTATTATAAAGAAGTTCATGTTACCTGAAACTTAACCAAATCCCTAAACAAGCAACAACTCTGGGCAATAACGGTTGAAACAAAAAGTCACTCTGGAGAACAACTGCAATTTCAAACTTTTTGAAAGAGCAAGACATGGTCGTGACAATCAGACATAATTGGTAAAGGAAAACAAATATGACCTAATCTGTAGATCTAACTGGGGGCCTTTTAGGGGACTCAGAAGGAGGGGGTGACTTTGCATAGTTCCCTGGCCAGGAATTGAACCCAGACCCCAGCAGTGAAAGCACCAAGTCCTAACCACTGGTTGTTGTTGTTGTTCAGTCACTAAGTAATATCCGATTCTTCTGCGACCCCATGGACTGTAGCTCACCAGGCTCCTCTGTCCATGGGATTCTCCAGGCAAGGATACTAGAGTGGATTGCCATTTCCTTCTCCATGGGATCTTCACGACCTAGAGATTGAACCCACGTCTCCTGCATTGGGAGGCGGATTCTTTACCACTGAGCCAGCTGCAAAGCCCCACTAACCACTGGACCTTCAGGGAATTCCCCTGGCCACATTCCTTTCATTGAGGAAGTCACAAAACACCGCTCAGGTTCAAGGTAAAGGAAGGAAATTCCATTACTCTTTAAGGGAATGGCAAGGCTCTAGAAGAGCACTCAAAATCAGAAATATTGTACCATTTTTCAAATATACAACTTACCACCCAATTTGCAAAAAAAAAAAAAAAACCCTTGGAAAATTCGGAAAAGTAGCAAGAAGAAAATAGCAATTATCTGTCATCATAGAGAGAGTGTTAATAGCATCTGTAGGGAGGCCAGAGGTCCGTCCCCAAGCAGCAAAGGAACTAAAACTGCAAGTGGAAGACTTCTTCCTTTCTCTTCTAATCCTGTGTTGTCAGCAACACCTGGTTCCACCTGAACTTAACTTTATCTCAAACCTTGAGCTCAGTTCAGTTCAGTCACTCAGTCGTATCTGACTCTTTGCAACCCCATGGACTGCAACACGGCAGGCTTCCCTGTCCATCACCAACTCCCAGAGCTTGCTCAAACTCACGTCCATGGAGTCAGTGATGCCATCCAACCATCTCATCCTCTGTCATCCCCTTCTCCTCCTGCCTTCCCTCTTTCCCAGCATCAGGGTCTTTTCCAATGAGTCAGTTCTTCCATCAGGTGGCCAAAGTACTGGAGTTTCAGCTTCAGCATCAGTCCTTCCAAGGAATATTCAGGACTGATTTCCTTTAGGATTGACTGGTTGGATCACCTTGCAGTCCAAGGGACTCTCAAGAGTCTTCTCCAACACCACAGTTCAAAATATCAATTCTTCAACACTCAGTTTTCTTTACAGTCCAACTTTCACATCTATACACAACTACTGGAAAAACCATAGCTTTGACTAAATGGACCTTTGTCAGCAAAGTAATGTCTCTGCTTTTTAATACACTGTCTAGGTTGGTCATAGCTTTTCTTCCAAAGAGCAAGCGTCCTTTAATTTCATGGTTGCAGTCGCCATCTGCAGTGATTTTGGAGCCCAAGAAAATAAAGTCTCTCACTGTTTCCATTGTTTCCCCATGAAGTGATAGGACCAGATGCCATGATCTTCATTTTCTGAATGTTGAGCTT